CCTGATCTGGATAAAATGAAATATATCTTCCATGTCAGTAGTCTCAGTTCATTCACTTGCAAGAATTTTCATTGTTACTTTTGACTACATCTTTCAAGTCTTTCTTTTTTAAGATGAGAAGCCAGGAAGAGCAGGAAATCAAACCACAACTTCATTCCTAGCTTTAACTCTCCCGTTCTAATGCAGGTAGTAACCATTTAACAGTTGGTTTTTAGGCCTTAATGGGTTCAAACTGGCTATGTTGGAAAATTGTAACTTGAATATAGTAAAAGTTCAGGTAGTAAATGGTCAGGGTTTTGTTGTTTGTTTTTTTTTTTTTTCCTACAGTGCAAAGACCAGTTAAAGGGGGCAGTAATATGGGATCATATTTTAAATAGCCTCACCTCTCTTTTCCTGTTCCATACTGGAACAGGATAATAATCTCCATAGTTTTCACTCTTGAAGTCGTGATAGTTTCCTTTGATCTTTTTTTTGTTGTAACAATTCTTCCCTTGTTGTGAAAAGTCTCTTAGGGAAAACAGAATTTCAGTACCATTACTGTTGTGTTGATTGTTGCTTCTGCTATTCTTTTTCTCTAAAAGAAGCTGAAGTTCCTTCAAATTGTGAAATCCCCCAGTTAACAAAGGAGATGGAGGTGGGAAGGAGAAGAATTAAGATATAGGTATTACAAGTTAAGATACAACTGATGGTTTACTTACAGTGGGAGATTTGTCAGCTCAGCACCACCTTAGCAGTTTTTGGTGCTTCTATAGCAGCAAAACTGTATTAATTTAACTAAAGTAGATACTAAAAAAAAGTATGCAACTTTATGTAGATATATATGCATATATATAAAAGGAACTCCTCTGCAGCCAGCAGACTATAAAGGGTACACTGTTGTTAATTAATTAAAAGCCCATTAAATTAAATTGTTAGAAAATAAGTTTGTTTCCATCGTGTGTCCCTATCTCCTTTCTCCAAGTGTACAGACACACAGGAAAAAAATATTTTTGAGAAGAAGCTAGGGTAGTTGAATTGAAAGGAAAAATAAGAGAGATTCTCATTCTGTCATTATGCAGATTTTATCCGGCATATTCTGTCATCTAAGAAAACTTCAGTGTTAGGCCTTTCTCCTTTTTCCTGCCGAGATGCTGAAATACAGTATATCCTCTTGCCAAATGCAGCTGATGAGCGGTAGATAGACTGATCTTCTTGCTTAACATCTGTATGTGAAACTGAATGCTCTATTGATTTCTGCTGCTTTTTTAAAGTGTGATGCTTCAAAATGTTAAAGGAATCTAAAAAGTTCATTGGTAAATCCCTTCAGCCAGCACGACCTGTGCGTCATCTGCCTTCTAAACAAGGTGAGTATCGTGGCTAAGATACAGTTTGCTTTGCTAAAGCTTCAGTTGCTTTTAAGGAAATAACAAGGACGTGTAAGGTGACCTGGATTTTTTTTTTTAATTACTTTGTTCAAACTACAGTGATGTATAAATATTTTGCTGTGTGTCGATCTTAATACATGATCTCTGTTATAAAATCTGAACGTAAACTACATTAGGTATATGCGCAACTCTTTTTGGTGGTGTTCTTCTAGCTTGGCATCTGAAATTCTGGCTTCAGAAGGCTGGATCAGGCTTCCCTATTAAATTTGGATTTCTTAGGTTAGTTGACTCCTATTGAAAACATAAAATACACATAATTTAACAAACAGGTTGTTGTTTAGGTTTTATTGCAAGTATGACATACTGCACTGTACCGTTCTTATCTAGCGTTCGTACAAGTTTAAAACAAAAAAAGCCTAAGAAAAACATCATGCCGTATTTATGTCAGTTGTTTATATTTTGTTTTTGTTTTAAAACCTCTGTATGCCTTCTAGATGTACCAGTGTTACAGCTATTATTATTGTTGAATTAGAAATTTTTGCTGGCCAGACAGACAGTCATAGCTGTGCTGATGTGGACAGAAGCTAAGTGACGTGATATATTATTACTTTGTTTAAAGTTAGTGGAAGAAATGTAAAATAATGGTCCTGTGGTGATTTAGAGCTTTTAAGTTGTGAATAAATGCACATATAGTCTCTTTGCAGTTGGATTTCAGTAATGTTCTTGTGGCAAGTATCACAAAATAAAAATGTGATGTGTATTTAAAATATTTTTTCTTAATGTTTTCTCTTATCTTCACCGGCATCAGCCGTTGTGTTAAACTTTCAGACTGAATTACCTAGCAACCCTGAAGTATGTTTGCAGAGTAAGGTTGACTGGGTGAGTATTGAGTAAATGGTAGATGACAAAGTTGATGGAGTGCGTTCTGGAGTGCTATAAATTGGACGTCTGCTGATCCCTTATGTTAGCAAATGAAACGTAAACTGTATTTCCAGCTAGGAGTGTCCTTGCATCTGTGTGTTATGAACCAACAGTGTCAGAAGTGTTAAAAAAAAAAGTTTGCATTTCCGGAATGCCTTTCCTTGATATTCGCATGCACCAGTACCTGAAAAATATGTCTTATGAGTTACTTATTTTAAGAGTCTTATGAAAATATGTGTGGCATTTCTTTAGTCTTCATTGAATTTAAGACAGCTATTTTAAACTTAAGTATACATATTCAGTCTTTGATTATTATGTGTAAAGAATGACATGAAATTTTTTTTTTAATTTGAGGCAGCATACTTTACAGAACTGAGTAATTAAACAGTTCCAGTCCATCCTGTAGTTCTGTTTCATTGAACCTGATGGATCAGGCAATATAAATATATCCTTAGATTTTTCAGTTTTTTTCCCCCAGAAATTTTAGGCAGATCAGGGAAACATAGCTAAATTTCAACTACAGAAAATGGAAGTGCAAGCAGGGTGCATAATATGCTAAAAAGATTTTGCCATTTCACAATTTCTAGTCTTAGGACACCATGGTGCAGCTACAGTACAAACTATTAACTGCTATCTCTGTCCAGAAAATAGAATCTCTTCCACTTTTGAAAAATGCTTCCCAAAATTTTCAGTTCTCCTTGCCCTCTCCTCGCCCCCTCAAATCTGTCTCAGAATGAGATAAAAATTCCTCTAGCCAAACCTGTGGAGCCCTTTGGGAGCCAAGAGAAATTGTTGAGGGTAAACTGCTTTTGAAAACACCTACATCAAGGTTTTGGCAGCTGGACAGCTGGAAGGAACTCAGCATTACATTGTAGATGTTGAGTCTTGATGCTTATGAAACCTTTTCCTAGATGAGAGAATCCAAATCTCTCTTTTGGTCTTAAGGAAAGTCGTTCCTGCTTTTATTATTCCCCAGTGTAGCAGCTTCTGGGTGTGTTCTGGGTGGGATAAGAGAAAAGGAGATAATTGTGTTGTTTTTAAAACCAGCAATAGCACTGTAAAATTCTGCCTAAAATATTGCTGTCTCAAATGTGCTTACCTATACTGCTTTGTAGGTTATTGAACTGTTCCTTTTTTGTATGTAATCAAGAGTAACAAACATTCTGCAGGTTCAAATGAAACTTCTCAGGCATTTTACATTACCACTTTTCCTATTTACAGTTTTCTGCAGTTATTTTTCAGGACCTTTGTCTTTCAAATTAGAGATGCATCAACTGTTACAAATAGCTACAGTTCTAACTACCGTTTAATTTGTGCAAGACTGTTTATTTTCAGACTGTTCTTATACTGTAAAGAAGGTGTTAATTCAATTGCAAGGAGTAGAAGAAAATTAACAGAATCCAGTTTTCTTGGTGCACAGGAAGTATTAATTGTCCACAATCTTGGTGTCTGGTGGAAGCAAAATTGATTACTGAAACTGTGCTACAACTTATTTTTAACTAGTAAACCCAGAAACATACTGCTCTGTTTCAATATGTTTAAAGGAAACAAGCTACATAACTTTTTGTGAAACATAAAAAAAGGTTAACTCTTTCCTCCCTATTTTAGGTATCTGAAATGACTGAAGTGAAGATCTTAACTCAAACTATGATGCCCTGCCAACCAAAACAGCATGAATCGGAAGAAAAAAAAGGTAAAATATTGTATGAAGATCTGTGTCAGAATTATTTCTGGATGGAACACAGTTGAACTTTGAAGAGATGAGGTCTCCATGTTATTTTTTCTTATTAGCCAGTGCTTTGAGTGTTTGGCTTCCTTCTCTACTACACTTTGAGAGCAGTATGAAACCTTCCTGTTTTTCACATAACACTCAAGAGAAAAGGCAAAACTTAGCCATAACTGACGTGGGAAACATCCACTTGCTTGCATGTAAGGGTGTACCTGTCTTCTTTTTCTTTAAAACAAAACAAAGCAAAACAAAGCCAAAAAAAATTCTTTACACAAAATCCTGTTCTTGTGTGTGTAGAAGTACAGGTTTGAGTTGCATCCTTTTCCTGCTATAGTGCTTCTGAAATACTAATTTTCTGATGGTTAGAAATGACTTAATTTCTTTTACTCCTGGACTGTTTGTTGTTCTGTCAGCACTTTCCTTAAGGTTTGTTCCTTACGCTTTTCTTTCTGTACTGCCTGTCACTGAGTACTGATAAAGCATAAGTGTTTTTGTCGTGGATTGGTAGGTTAAATGAGCCAAACTTTTAATTTTTTTTCAGTAAGGGATAATCTCAGATTCCAAATGTATTCTCACAGTTCTCCTCTGCACTGCTTCCTCCCTAATTCTTCATTCTTAAACATGTCACAGGAACGGGGACACTGATCCAGGTTAGGTCATTAGTTCATTGAGACAGTTTTTTCTGTTAATGTCTTCCTGTAATCAGGCATCTTAAATCTGTCTGTAATCTCTGGAGACTTGTTCTGTTGCTCTTAGTACTCAAGAATTGAAAGAATTCTGTGAAGTTTCATTGAGCATTTCCTGTTTTTCCTCAGTCTGAGGTTATTATCACCCATGCTCTTGAGCAGTAATTCTACACTGTTGTGTGTTACTGACCAGAAGGTAAGTCTTCTATGTATCCCCTTTCAGGCTCAGGTTAGTTTCTTTTGTTCTTGATCTTGGTAAGTAGAATAATGTTCTGTTCTTCAGGTCTAGTTTGTTGTCAGGCTTGTCAAATTCTGTCTGTTTGGTGGTGGCTTTCTGGTCCTTTCTTATTGATTCTGCTTGTGGTGTATAGAGACTATTGTGTTCTACAAGATCTTAAATGGCTTCTCATCAGATTCTGGTCTCTTTTATAAGCCATCGCTTTGGATCTTTTTTAGTGGTTAATTGCTCTGTGATGCCTTCCTGGGTCTACTCCATATTTGTCCATAATGTCAAGCTTTTTCCAACACTTGTTTTTAGAGGGCTTTTGTTTGTTTGCTGATTGTTGTAATCCTTTCCTTCAGAGTAACACAACTTCAGAGGTCCTGTTGTTCAGCTACTGCCTACAAATGTCTCCCCCCACCGCTTGCTCCCACCGTCTATGTCATTGGTGAAGATATTAAACAATACTGGTTCGAATACAGACCCCTGAGGGACATACTTGTCGCTCATATCCATCTGGACATTGAGTCATTGACCACTACTCTCTCATCCACTGAACAGTCCACCCATAAAGTCTGTATCTATCCAATTTAGAGAGAAGGATGTTGTGGGGGACTGTGTCGTGGCCTTGCAGAAGTTTTCCTTATGTGTCTTTAAACAAGGGAAACAAAAACAAGCTGTAAGTTTTCAAGTAGGCTCATGTTCTTTAAACTATTCTTTTAAAAGTTGTCCTTATACCCTCACATATCTTCATCAGTTATTACAAGCACTTCTGGTCAAAGTCAGGAAAAAATCCCATTCATAGTTGACTTTGTGGCCTCTCTTGTCAACAGCCTACAGCCTGAGAAGCAAAAACTGTAGTCAATCAAGTGACTGCGTAACAGTCTTAGAGGAGGCCCATTATTCCTAAAGAAACGAACTTCATTGTCACCAAGGACCAGAGATAACGTTTGTCCCTTCTTTGCCCTTTTGCCTTCTTGTTTCTGCTCTGGTTTAAGAATATCGGGTTAAAATATGGACATGGGTAGACATATCATCTGAGGCTATTCTAGAGGAGAGATAATGGTATAAATGGTACAAACTCGAATGATAACATGCACATTCTAAGCAAAGCCCTAACTCTTGTTGATTTGGTGTAAAACCCTCAAAACTATTTAATTGGTATTAATCCATTTACCAGTTTACGTGTGCCAGATCTTGTAATTACTTCTACCTGTTGAAAGACATCAACTTAATAGTTCCAAGAAAAGAGCTTCTCAGTGTTTATTATCTGTCTGGTAGAAACGTGTGCCACTTTGGTGTGAGTTATAAACAGATTTTATTCTAGGGTTTCAAGACCAGTTAGTGTTGTTTCTGTTAATTAGAACAAGATATAGGGACTCTGTAGTGTAAGGTTGGATTCACATTTTTATGTTCTTTTGTATTAAAACAACAAACCCTTATTAGCTTGGAATAATCTTCAATATTTACTAAGTCAATTTCATAGAGTTAAAGTGAAATGCTCTGTAATTTACTACGAATTGTCCTGATACAAGGTCAGACTTAACATGACTGCTGGTTTTAATATTGATTTTTCTCTTCCACATGCAACATTCCTACCCTTCAATGAGAAGCCATATCAGTTCTCTGAGTTCCCAACCTTAATGTCTTAAACAACAGTGTTGAACTTTGTAATTTTGTATATTCACAGAAAGGATCAAATACAGCAGAGATTTCCTTCTGAAACTTTCAAGTGTGTCTCTCTCTCAGAAGAAGCCAGAGTTTCTTCCAGATCATCCGATTGTTCTTGAAAAGCCAGTAAGTGCATTTTTCATATTAAGTGAAGTTATAAAAACAGTCATGGAGACAACGCATTTGTCAGGAAACATTTTTCTTCAGACTGGCCTGCCAGATTGATAAAACCTTCAAAAGAGAGATTGCGCAGTTCAGCTCTTTTAGCTTTTGTTCATAACTTCCCCAGTCAGTATTTGGCATCTTACCATGGCATCTACCATACAAAGGAAAAAAGTTTTTTCTAGTTTTTAGGAAGATCAGGTATGTTTCCAAATCTAAAGTCAGTTCTATTAAAGCTTTCTACTATGAAATCACAGTACATAGCTTTGGTATTCTATGTGAATTCCATGTCTGTCCTTTCAAAATAAAAGAGAACAATCTTGATAAATTTTTGGCTTGGTGAAAGTCGTGATTCCAGTGCTTAAGTTGTCCATGCATCAGTGTCCACAACAAAACTTTTAATGAGCTTAATGCAGTTTGTGTTATCATTATCTCTGTTCTGTGTTGTTGGGAAGAAATAGATAGAAATAAATGATGAAGGTGAAGGCTATCCAGGAATGC